TATATATATATATATATAAGCTTCAGTTTCTTTAAAAATAAATTGAGTAAATTAATTTTCTGCTAAACCAGGAAAAACCCAATGTGTTGATATCTCTTTTTATTTTGATTATATCAAGAGACGGTGGAATTGTTTATGAAGAAAAGCTCTACCAAAATCTAAAATTTTAAGTAAAGAAATTTACTAAAAATACAATTTTTTTGGTGAGTTTTATGTCTTATTTACTAAATTTATCATGATTTTTTGATGTTAATAAATTTCAATAAAATAAAAATATATTCAAAAGAGTAATTTAAAAAATATGTTATTATTACTCCTCTTACAAAAATCTTTCTTCATTGATTTTAGTACATCAAACTAGACGTTAACAAAAGTCTCCTTGTTAATTAAGCTTATAGTATAAACTAAAATACAAAAATTAAAAATTAAAATGGGTGGCACTAACTCTCCTCACTCTCATTTAGAAATTCTAAATATTATCTTTCTTTACTTTTCAATGTGCTTTCATGTATTACTTTCACAGTAAATCAAAAGACTTCTATACTAATTATCTTAAAAAAATATTATTTTATTTTCATCCGTATATTTTTTCAACATTCTATAATTTACTTTTTCTTATTTCTATTCCAATAATTTTTAATCACAATATAAATTATTTATTATAATATAAATATAATTTATACATTTAAATAATTTTAATAATAACTCAATTATATATTTATTATGAATTTTAATAACATAAAAACATGTATGTGGTAAGATATTTAAATTATTTAAATCTTATTGTTAAGGTGAAATTATTTTTTGTTTGTTATTATTATGGTATACTCAAGTTTATTGTCGAAACTCGAAAGACTCTTTCTGTATTTATCTTATTCCACAAGCATATACGATGAAGATTTAACATTTTCCATGTTTGTGTTGGTTAACGTTGTTTCCAACGGCTAGGGAGTAACTGCTCCAACGGTAGATGATGAGAACGCTATCTACCCAATTTCGCTCCGTCAAACGCCCAAATCCAAACCCTAAATTATCCAAATCGTCGTCTCCTGCAAAATCAGAAAACGCCAAACCAAAATCAGAGCCATGGTGCGTTTATCTCATCCTCTCCACCAACCATCCAATCAAAACCTACGTTGGGGTCACAAACAATTTCCCTCGCCGGTCGGTAACCTTCATTTTACCTTCTTCTAACCTTCATTTTAATTTCCGTTTTCAATTAACTTGTAATCCGATCACCATTCTGTCCAATTGATGTTGGATTTTTTTTATTTTTTAATTTTTGCATTTCTGCCATGAAACGTATCATGCTTTTTTGCATCTATGTTTTCCCCATTAAAATTAATCAGTGATTAATGTTGGGGTTAGATTTGATTCCAAGGTAAATTACAATGCTTATGTTCTGTAGTGTAAAATTTCCTAGGATTCTTGGCTCAGGAAACTACAGTTTGTGTCGGTGGTTAAGTAGATGTTTGATTTGTACTTATCTTAATTGCTGTAGTTTGAAGCAGCATAACGGTGAACTTAAAGGTGGTGCAAAGGCATCCCGTGCTGGAAGGCCTTGGATTTGTGCATGCATCGTTTGTGGTTTTACAGACCGAAGTGATGGTATATATGTTTATCTTTTGTCTTCTTTTATTTACATCACGGTACTACATGATTGATTTTCTACTGTTATATGCTCAACTTATGTGGAGAAAAAAAAAATTGTTCTACCTATGATCGTGCTGCTTATTTAATTTTTTTTAGTTTTATAGAATATTTCCCCTTTGATGTTTGTACATTTGGGTGCTTTAATTTACAAGTCACCTGCTAATACTTGATGTAGTTGTATGGTAATTTATATTATATGTGAACTCTGCCCTTAACTATGTTATTTACAAGATATAAAGGACCTGAATGCTATTTAGCTGCTGTGAACATATAATTTAATTGGTTTCTTCCTCTATTCAATAAGATGTGCAGGAGGACTTCTAGAAAACGATCGGAGGAAGATAATTGATCAATTTTTAGAATTCCTGGTTAATTTAACTTAGTGGTTTATTGCAGCGAGTTTTGTCAATTAAATTAAAAACAAAAAACAAAAAAAAAAAACCAGTACTTGTTAAATTTGGCCAGATCTTTAATGTTTCCGTCTCCAGTTCTAATCAGTTTTAGGGGAAGATTGCTAATTGCTTGACTTCAGCAACATTCCTCATTAGTAGAGTCCCTTCTTCTCTACTTAACAGTAAAACCAACTCCTCGTATCAATTGTTGTATCTATAGGAGTCAGATTGCTCAGTAGAAAGGGTTTTCAGTTGTCTATGTTTTGCATCCACCCTACCCATTCAGAGAACTACATTCAGTCCTCAGGTAGTCCCTGCTGTGTTTGTGGGGTATCCTATATTCCTATTTGATTATAAGGATTACAAACTGTATGCCCTGCAAAGGAGGTCCTTCTTTACGTCCACATTGTCCAGAGACGTGATTTTCATAAAACTACCTTCCCTTTCCTTACTTTCCTGTGCACAGATTCCTCTTTTCTCTGGATCAATTTCCTGACTTGATAATACCAATTCCTTTGCTGAACATGGCTACTACTTGCACTAACTCAAATCCAGTAACCCAAATAAACAGTTTCCAACAGATATTGTCTCAAGCCTCCTAAATACTTGTAAGGTATAAAAGTAACCTGAGGAAATAAATTAATAACAGAAAAGTAATAGTTTAGCTAATTTACAAATAACTGAATAAACTAATTAATCTAAGCTATATTATATGTAATGAAAAAATTGTTTTTACTAGCGAAGGGAGTATTTTCTCAGCTGTAACTAACTTCTGAAAAATGAGATGATTATTTTGTGTTGATTTTTATTTCTCATTTTTACAGTACTACCCTTTGATTTGTTCTCATTTTTAGCATCATAAGTATCTTTGCCACAGGGTTGACTATTTAATAGCCCTTTAATTATACTAGTGATTGGCAATTCACTAATTTGAGAAATTTTTAATGTGCAATCGAGTTATTGTATTGGCACCAATTTGTGCTTATTGACAGGCCCTAATTTCTACATTAGTTTTTAAAAAAAATTCTTTTGCAATACCCTGAAGCTATCCTCGCAATACTATAATGCAGCTATCTTTTACTAAATTGACTAAGATTTTCTTCGTATGTAAAACTGTCTCACCGTGTTATGTTTGATCTGATAAGGTTTCAACATTGCCCGTTTCTCATAGCTTACAAGTTGATGCATTTTATGTTTTCCTTCCTCATTGTAGCTTGTGTATTTGAATCAAAATGGAAAGCTTTCTCAAGGAGAGCTCCCCGCAAAAATAAAAATGACGATCTCTCCATGCAAAGTGAAGATCCATCATTACCACTACTGCGACACAGACAAGCAGCTTTGAGTAGAGTGAAAGGTTCACTTGACTGCACTAACTTACAAATTATTTGGCATTTGGATCCATTGTGATCCAACTGCCACAATGTATGTGTTTTACTTAAGTAATTGTAACAAGTTCAAATGGCAAAACATAGGCCATATATTTAAGAGAAGTGCTAGCAATACAGTAATTAACACAATATTTTTAAAAACAGTTTCTGTTATTGGTTAAAATTTATTAAAAATTATAAAACCATTGGTGTATTGCTAACCTTTCTCTGTATAAACTAGCCATTTGTACCATAGACATTGATTGGTTCTTGTATTACAGTCTCTGTATATAGCATACGAGGGATGAAAGGTCCCATGTAAAAGCAACTCTTTGGTGTAGGGAGCATGAAATGAAACAATATTCATTTAGCAAAAAAGTAATATTTTACGATGATGCAGGGATAATATTGTACCCTAGGCATTGATTGGTTCTTGTAGTAGGATATAGGGAGCTTGGAATGAAGCATTATTTATATACCAAGAAAAACATATTTCGTCCTTCGAATGCAATAGATAGACGCTTTCATTAAAAAATAAATAAATAATAGCACCCTATATAAAAAATTGGATACATTATCTTTTATTTTTGGTGTACAGACTCAATAAAATTACACCCCTAAAAGCCGGGTCCATGATACGGCCTAATGGTTAAGGATACATCATGCTAACAGAAACAAAAATGAATGGGATCGTATCGTAGTATCCTATAAATAGAAGACGAGGTATAAAATAAAATAAGGATGGATGATTGAAGGGGTGAAGTTGATTGAATTAAATGATAATATTGGTGTGAAAGAAGTTTGAGAATCGGGAAGCGAGATTGGTGAAAAGCTGGCCTAAAGCAGCGTATTCCTGAAACGCCCTAACATCAATCCGACAGCGGATGAACTCGGGCAGGAAGAGGGAAATGCAGGTGGCGAAGACAAAGGCCGCCGTCAAGGGCCCGGAAACAAGCGAGGGCAAGCGGAAGGTGGCGGCGAGTGCCCTCTTGAGCGCAATCTCGAGCGTCAAGGAGAGTCCATGGAGAAGAAAGAAGGCCGTCATCCAAAACGTGGGCTCCATCCGCCCAATGTAGAAAAGAATGAGCTCGTGCATCAGACCCGACACCAGAAAGGTGGCGAAAACCGCGGGTAGCGGGGCCCACTTGGGGCCGAGAAGAGCGGCGGCGGCCCTGAGCGTGGGGTGGTAAACGGTGGGGCGCAGGATGGTGGTGACCATGAGGTTCCACCTCCTCCCCCAGAAGTCCTGGAGTGAGGTGGAGCGCAGGGGATTGTTGAACTGCGGCTCCAGCTCCAAGCCCAGGAGGGTCCGCGCGAGCGCTGCAACAAGGGCGAGGATTATCTCCAAGAGGAAGTATATGTGGAAGCAGTAGATGCACATGATGAGTTTGGGATGGATGTTTTGAGTGTAGTCATAGGCTTTGACCAAGAGCCCCACCAGGAGAGCCTTGAAGGCGTAGCGCAAGGGGTGGGAAGTATTGGTGGATGGATGTTTAGTAAGATTGATGGGGAGGCATGCGAGGGCGGCGAAACGAGGGAGGGAGACTTGGGGGTGGGAGAGGGGTCCTTTGTCGAATGCCAGGAGGAGAAGCTTGAAGTTGGCGAGCCATGCGAGGAAGAACCCTAGGGTTCCGCTCAAGTGTACGGTGGAGAAGGTGAGCGGAAGGAAGAAGAAGAGTGAGATGACGGGAAGGAGAGAGAGGAGTCTCGTTGGGCCTGGAGGGATCACTTTCCTCATCCAATAGCAGTAGCTTACCGAAGTCCCAACCCAGATCCACATCTTCATCACACTCATCAACTCACCCTCCATCGCTCCCACCTCCACCGCTCTTTCCTTCTTTTTCTTCTATAAATAATTCTTTAAACTTGCCCTTTTTATGCCTTCTTTTTCTTACAACGTGGTTTCGCTAAAAGTAAAACCCGCGTGTTTCGTCTACGCCAAAAAAAAAACAAACATAAAATAGAAAATTTAAGAAAACATTTTTCTTTTAATATAATTAGTGCCCAACTGGCCTTTGCGTGAATTTTTTTCTGAAATAATATTTTTTTTAAAAAAAATTACAAGAATGATCACTGTGCAGGATTATTTACCAAGATAGAACCATTTACTGTTCAAGCTCAGAATTCGATTCCCCGGGAACCGAATTCTGAGCATCAAAATGTAATTTTTTTTGTTTTTTCAACTCAGAATTCGGTTCCCGGGGAACCGAATTCTGAGTTGGTTTTAAATTTTTTTTTTTTCGTGTATGGGGCAAATGTGGGCTGATCTGGGAAGCGGAACGGCCCGTTCCAAAAGCAGAACGGGTCGTTCTGCTTAAAGAAACAGAGTGCAAATTCTTTAAGCAGAACGGGCCGTTCTGCTTTTGGAACGGGCCCTTTCACATTCAGAATTTGCACTCTGTTTTTTTAAGCAGAACGGCCCGTTCTGCTTTTGGAACGGGCCGTTCCGCTTCCCAGATCAGCCCACATTTGCCCCATACACGAAAAAAAAAAAATTTAAAACCAACTCAGAATTCGGTTCCCCGGGAACCGAATTCTGAGTTGAAAAAATAAAAAAAATTACATTTTGATGCTCAGAATTCGGTTCCCGGGGAACCGAATTCTGAGCTTGAACAGTAAATGGTTCTATCTTGGTAAATAATCCTGCACAGTGATCATTCTTGTAATTTTTTTTAAAAAAAATATTATTCCAGTAAAAAATTCCCTTTGCGTCGGATTAAAAGTTCTAACTTCTTTTATTGGGTGAATTATGTTTAATCAATGACTATACACTACTACAGTGTTGTTCTCAGACAGTTTTGCATTTGAATTATGGGCTGTGGCCCGTGGGCCGTGTTTCCACAGGGCCCTGCCAAACTACATACTGTGCTCAATCTTGTTAATTACGTTGGTCGTGCTCGTTATTTGTGTTTATCATCTTTCGTGAGGTATTTCTTTCCCATCACACTTTTACTATTAACAATTCAACGGGAATATAAACCTTAAACTTTGTTCTTACTGGAATTTGGTCGTGGTGGTGATCCGTCCAGTAAGACCGGTGAGCCTCCTTTGATGATGTATTGGTGCTCCGAGATGGGGGAGGTACCTGCAAAAGAGACTCCGATGCTAAAGTTAGGGTTTGTATGAGTATGAGTCTCGTATAAATAATGCACGTACCTTAGTGTGAGTTAGGGTTATTTTGGGCTCTGGGCCTGAGATAGGATATGATAAGATATGATAAGATCAGATAACATATCTCGCCTGGGGTGAGATCCCTTGAGGTCAGTTATCATTTGCTTAAGTACCGGGCTGACGTCATATAACGCCTATCCGAGGTCATCCTGTGTCGTGGTGCCGAGCTCCGAGCTCGGTTTCACAGATCGGATAGTACATTAGCCCCCCGAGCTCCGAAGACCGTAGGTCGAGGAGTTAAGACCAAGCTCGCCAGGGGGAAAAGCATCTCCCGCGAATGTGGCTTGCAGAGGTGCCATGTGTCACGACTATCCATTTCCTGGAAAAGTGCGTGTGGCGTGTTGAAGGAAATGACGGTTATACAATGATGGTTTCATTTAATGCGCCGTCAGGTGTGTCCCCCGGCTGACACGTGTCGTGGCCGTTTGGATTTTTGAGAAACCCTTTTCTCTTCTCGCGCCTCTTCTCTTTTCACTTTACTCTTCTTTCCATCCTTTCAGCTTCTTGCGCACGCCTTCTTCCTCGTCTTCATCCTTTCCATTTTATCGATGGCCGGTGGTCGCGGTGCTAGTTCTTCTGCGCCTGTCAGGGGCAGGGCGCGCGGTAAGGTGGTGGCTACCGGAAGGGCCGTCGATTCGAGGGCGGGTTCCCCTCCACCTGCAGACCTGGAATCGGGAGTTCCTGGTTATGGTTGGGTGAAGCGCGAGATGGCCAAAGTCGAGAGTGTCTTCAAATCTTTTTTGGAGGTTAACTCGGTTTGGAGGACACATAGGGTTTGCGACTCCTCTATCTCTCAACTGATTCGACTAGAGCCCTGTCCGGCCGGAGATTATGTGTTCATGGGGAAGTCTACCGGCTCTCTCCACTTTTATGTGTATCAGTGCTTTTTCAGGGATCTGGGCGTCCGTCTTCCCTTTACTCAGTTCGAGTGCGACTTTTTGAACTACATTAATGCTGCTCCCAGCCAGTTGCATCCCAATAGCTGGGATTTTCTGAGGGCGTTTCAAGTCCTCTGCACAATGTTAGGGATGGAGGTGTCCCTTCGTGTTTTCCTCAGCTTCTACCAGTTGAAGTCGGGTGTTCCGCCTTATGGCGTTCTTTCTTTAAATGGGGGTAAAGATGGGGGTTTGTTTACCCTTTACTCCCAATCTTATAAGAATTATAGGCAGGAGTTTTTCTGGGTTGCTCTTGTCGATGTCGACCCGTCTGAGGATGGTGCGTTCTACTTCGGCGGGCTGCCGAAGTTTCCTTTTTACTGGTGCCCCGACCCGTCTGGGTTCAACAGGGTGGATCCCTCGCAGTTGACAGCTCCGGAGGTAGCTGCCGTTGAGGACCTCAAGGCACTTCCCCGACCTCTAGATGTTAAACTCATCTTGTCGCTTGAGAGTTCGTTGCACAGGGGGAGGGGTTTGGAGAGTGAGTATCTCCTATTTTCGTAACTTGTTAGGGTTCGTGCAACTTGCTTTCGTTGACATGTGTTCCGCTTTACGTTTGCAGGTATATTGGGGAAAAACCTGTGGCGCGAGCTGAAGCACCGCTACAGGGTTACTGAGCTCGAGGCTTCTGAACTCCCCGAGGAGGAAGCTTCCCCCCTGAAGCTCAACCGAAAGAGGAAGAGGGACGAGTCGGGGACCTCTACTCCTCGCGGGACAGAGGGGGTTACTTCCCCACTGCCGCTGCCGAGGTGATGGATCTGACTGGGAGTCCTCCGCCCGAGGGGGGAACTCAGGCGGCTGTCGGGGGGGTGTCGCCGGTTGGTGGGCCTTCTGCCCGGTCTACTGGGGTATCTGCCCGAGCTACAAAGCGAGTGGCTAAGACCACGTTGGTAAGCGCCCTGCCCGGTTATCCCTTCTTTCATTCTTCATGTTATTTTTCAGTTTCCTGAGCTGGAATTGTCGGTTATAGGTGGGAGGAAGCTCCCGGAGCCGCTGGTCAGGATGTTTCGATCTCCGAGGCGATGGCACCGGTCGCGGCGTAGGTTGTCCGAGCTTCTGAGGTAGGTGGTGTGTGCTCGTGACGCCTCGATGTACTGAGTGTTTTTTGTTTGTTGAGCTTATGTCTCTTGTTCTTTTTTCCTTTTGTAGGCGAGCAGGGTTGGTGTTTCTGGTGCGGGGCCAGGGGCCTCCGCCGCTGCGCCGTCTGGATCTCGCGGCCCGGTTCCTAGCTCCGAGGTTCCGTCGTTCGCTCCGGTGGCGAAGCGGCCCCCGAAGCGTCCGTACGTCGCCTATCGCTATGCGCGGGAAGGTGCGTCTACGCGCTTGGAGCATCTAAGTGCGTCAGAGGAAATCAACTCTCTATGGAGTGCCGCAGCGACTTCGGAGAAGCTTTTCCCTAAAGGGTCCCTGAGTACGGCTGACCAGGCGCTGATCGAGTCAGCTGGGCCGGTGGGGAGCTTTGATGCTGCTCAGATCTTCTTGCAGAGGGGCACGACCATTATGGATCACTGGAAGCACAAGTGGTCCAAGCAGCAAGGGGATGTTGCGATGCTGAAGGGTCGGGTTCAATCCCTGAGTGAAGAGAACAAGGTTCTGAAAGAGGAGAATGGTGTTCTGAACTCGGCTCTGGGTGAAGCGAAGCTGCAAGGGGCCGAGCTTCAAGCTGCGAGGAGGGACCTTGCTAAGGTTCAGGAGTCACTGGAGGCCGTTCTGCTCTCCAATGAAGGTTATGTGGGCCAGGTTCGCTCTTTAGAGGATGAGGTATCATTTTTGAAGAGCGAGCTGGTGTCAGTGACTGAATAGCGTCTTCGTGATGAGGTCGTTCTTGGCAGCCAGGAAGAAGAGATAGCTGCTCAGCGGACAGCTTTCTCGGCGCTGGAGGCTGAGAACGCCTCACTGAAGAGGAGGCTTGAGGAGGTTGAGCGTTCTGTTGTGGTGGAGCACAAAAGGGGCTTCCTCAAGGCTGCTCGCCAGGCTAGATTCCTTGCGCCAGGGTTCGACTTTTCCAGCATGCATGTGGAAAAGGTTGTTCGCTTTGGGAAGCTGATCGGTGAAGACGACGTCGAGGATAGTTCTAGTGATAATGCCTCTGCGTAGGCTAGTTTTATTTGTTTTTTCATACTTGTATTCATGTTTTGAACATGTTTGCTTTGTATATATGCACCTTTTTTCTGCGCCTAGTTTTGAGGTTCAGTTTTTATTTGGTGGCGTGCTGCGAGGGCTTGAGCTCGCTTTTAAGTAGTAATGCCGTGGTTCGAAATTGGCTTTGGACGATCGTGTTTAGATCGACTTTTGGGCCTCTAGTAAACATGGTGAGGCTCGTATTCTAATGAACACGTTGCGGTTTGTACTCGCTTTGTACTTGACTTCTGATGAATGCGGCGAGGTTCGTTCTCGACCTCTTGTAAACATGTTGAGGTTCGAACTCGACCTCTAAATGCACGCGGTGAGGTTTGTACTCGACCTTTTTGTGAACATGCCGAGGTTCGTACTCGACCTCTGAATGCGCGCGGTGAGGTTCGTACTCGACCTTTAATGAGCGCGGTAAGGTTCGTACTCGACCTTTTTGTGAACATGCCGAGGTTCGAACTCGACCTCTAATGAGCATGCCGAGGCACTGAAGAGGAGTCTGGGGTTCGACGAGGAGGTTCATACTCGACCTTTAATGAGCGCGGTAAGGTTCGTACTCGACCTTTTTGTGAACATGCCGAGGTTCGAACTCGACCTCTAATGAGCATGTCGAGGTTCGTACTC